ATTTCTCATATTTCGCCTTCGGGCAATAACGTATGCATATCTCTATGAAATATGTATGACCTCACAATCGACAAGGTAGATTGTGATCACACAATAAGCAGGAAGGAAGTCGTCCGCAGGTAGTCTCTATTTGTGACGAAACAAATATTTGTTTTCTTCTAAAATTTCGGTTTTGCTGGAATTATTACCCCTGTTCCAGAGGCCGAAAAATATTTTTCGATCGTGATTGTTTATTGAGTTTATGAGTCAGTGTGACAAGCATGCTTTAAGAGACTACTTCAAAGTAGTAGTTCCAGGCTATAGAATTTTTTTATACGAAAGAATTTATTACAATTTCTTTATTCGGCAGCTTTTATACAAATACCTTTATAAGTACCTTTGAAAATTCTACAATTACTGAATGTTATTGTAGACCAGAGAGATATTTATAGCAAAAGTATTTGGGTATCTCGAGGCATCAGAACGAGGGAGCGGAGAGCATGGATTTTGTCTGAACAAAATCTGCTGTTAAAATGAAAACGTTTATTGTAATGTGAGTTGAAAAACATTTCAAAGTTCTACTTTGACAGAATTAAAATACTACATTTTGACTGCAGCTCTCGAAACATGAAAGTCTAGGAACACGTAAAACAGTCCAGATCCTTACCCAGAAGTTATTATTTTTTACTATAATCATTGTTTATTCTTTATCGGTATTAATTACTAATATATGGGTCCGTTTGCCTCTGAGATAAAGCGTTGGTTTGACAATTATAGTTTCCAATACGGTTAGAGAATTGCGTTTGGTTGCTATCCAGCAAAAATGCCGTGCTTGCCACCCTATACACAGGCTTTACAAAATCGATTATAAATTACGAATCCGAAATTACGAAATATGACACGTACTTATAATGGGGTTGAAATCCATAGACGCTTTCTTATAGAGGCGCTCCAGTAGTGTGTGTACCAATATGGACGTAACAAATTTTTTTGCCTTCTTCAAGTTATGTAAAGGAACTGAAGTCTGTGGGCAGGGTGTACATTCACTTGACTAATACACACAGTCCCCGAATTTGTAACAGAACTAAAATAAGGAAAATCGGAATAAAATTACGACCTGACCCTAACCTGGTTCACATACTACGGGAGTACCGAAAAATTCATAAGAATGTATATTACCCAATAGAGACTAAAAGCTTTCACCAGTGATCCCCAGATTCTGATTCTGGAAAATTGTTGATTCGATACTCAATCGCGTCATCGTCGCTAATAGTTATTTTCTTCCGGTCATCGTCCGAAAGTATAATAGATTATATTCTAGATAAAACACGAATGATGACAAAATATTTCGTGAATATTTTGGGGGATTAATGATCACGGAACTCACGAATTAATCTCCCAAAATTATAGAATATTTTTTGTCTCATATTCACGTTTTTCCTCAACAAAGTTCGTTTTTTTAATAAACTATTGAGATTAAACGGAACGCACGAATTTATCTTCATTTCGAAATATTAAAATTTTTTATGTCTAATATATACTTTTTCTTCAACAAAGTGTGTTTTTTTCTTAGACTTTTTTTGTTATAGTTGTCTACGATAGTATAAATCAAAATATTAAAACATTGTTGTGACTAAACGGAACCCATGAATTTATCTCCTTTTTAAAATTATAGATTTTATTGTCTATTATACGTTTCACTAAGTTGAGATAAGTAAACATAATTAAAAATTGTGATTAAATTTCTTAAATGAAATGAAATATTTTACGTCTTCAATTTGTTTTTAAATAGTTTACTATCTTTGTATAAATATTAATAATAGGAAATAGTAATAATATATAATTTGTTTTGTTTTAAATTTAATCCCCTTTTAAATATTACAGAATATTTCACGTAACATATTTGCGTTTCCTACGATAAGTTGTCTATCAGTTTATTCAGTCAAATTGTAAATTCAGTCAAATAATTAAAAATTAAATATTAATTTCATTGAAGAAGTATCTCTTTTCAAAATTGAAGAAAAAAATATATTTGCTTAGTGTTCGTATTTCATCCGAAAAATTGCTTTTTTTGTTTTTCTGTATTGTTAATTTGGTACTCTCGTAGTACCAGGTTAGGGTTAGGCCATATTTTATTCTGATTTCCCTTATTTTAGTTCTATTACGAGTTCGAAGATTGTCTGTGTTAGCCAAGTGAATATAACCCCTGCCCATAGGTTTCAGTCCATTTATACAACAAAATTAGTTACCTCCATGTTGGTACACAAACTTCTAGCGCGCCGATGATTCTTTTTGTTTATTTTTTAAAATTTAGGATAAACAATAATAATGAAAATTTAAGAATAAAATTTTTGACACATATTTGAAATATTAACGCTGAGTAGTCATTTATTCAACAATAGTGTAAAAATGTGGACAAAAAATTTACGTCATTATGATACGGCTCAAGGATGAAATGTTTTTCTTAGTTTGAGTAGTTTTTGTGTGGTGGTTATATTTTCGATGAAAAATTGGAAAACTGCGTTCTCGAAACCTAAATTGGTATTGGACTTTTTAGGTTTTCAACAAAACCATACAATTGATAATATTAAAACTATGAAATTCAACTTCCAACTTTGCAGCGTGGTATTGAGATCATTCATGTGTTGTTTTTTGGTTTGTACCACATTTTTGTCGTAAATACTTCGTATTCCCAATTTTAAGACGTCATGGAATTTATATTAATTTGTTTTGACACATATTTGAAATTCTATCTTTTTAAAGTCATTTTTAACAAACAACAGAAATGTTGAAATATAAAAAAAATTCCGATAAGTCTCGAGTATAGGATTGGTTGTGGGTCGATTGAATGTATAAAATAAGCTTAAAACTCGAGTTTTCACTTCTTTCCTGTTCATCATTATAAGCGCGAATAGAGCAACTTGCAATTCACCGTTTCATTTACTTTTATTAACTTGAAATAGGTTTACACATCAATGCTTTTTTACGGAGTTAGGTACAGAATGAGCTAAAAATATATAGATCATCAGTTATCAAACGTTGGGGCGCGCCCCAAAAAGTAGGCGTAAACAATTTTTATAGAGTGTGAACCCAAATAATAAATATTTGTCAAATTTGATCTTGCCAGCCTTTATTGGTCATTTAATTTTCGTCATTGTTTAGAGATTGTGATTCCGTCCACGTATTTTCAAAGTTTTTTTTGAATAAAACATACTTTCGCCTTATCCGTTATTTGTAGCTTATTGTTAGCTAGTAATTTTTGAGGTGGTGCGCTAAACTTGACAAATTCTAAAAAGGGCTTACAAAGTAATATACTGTAAGGTATATATAGATATAACAGGGAGGTAGTGAAAGTTAACTTTAGTGTCAACGAAACTATTTCGATTGAGTTAAATTGAGGATCCGTACTATAAATGTTTTATTGAATGTATGCGCGCTCCAAGTAGAATTGTTGCGTATTGGTTTTTAGGTCTGAAACTTCGTAATCAATTTCAAGATTTAACAGTTGAATAACTTTGACGATGTGTTTGGTATAACTTAATCCCAAAAAAATAATAGTGTCAATTATGATATAAAAAATTTTTGTTTTGTTTTATTCAATTTTTATTGCTACTCGATTTACTAAATTCAAATAGAATGTTCAGACACATCTCGTAAAAAAATATTACCTGATTAAACATTCCACAAAAAACTATTTCCAAAAATCTAATATGACGTCATTAGTCGTATGACGTCATTGTTAAAGGGAGGCCTCTCATTGTTAAAGAGAGGGATGTGGGCATCTCATCTTCCAAATATAAATCCATCCTGCTATAAATTTTTTATGGTTCAATATCTTAATATCCATTGGATTGTAAAATCTTCTAATGATCAATATTAAATAAATTAGCAATGCTTTATTACTCTTCAAGGTCAGACGGATAATAAAATATTCGTCCTTGAAGACGATGCTCAAGGTCATACTATGTTACAAATATTTGTGTTAGAATATGTAACGAGTGCTGGAGGGCGTGAAGTGAGTTACGCCCGGTCGTTGATATGTTTGTTGTCTATTGTACTATTAGCATTATTTGAAATACTTAAGACGGGTTGGGCATAAATGTTTTGAATGACTTCTATACAGAGGTTAAGTATAGATAGAGGTATCAGTTAGTTCAGTGAACTACAAGTATGTATAAACATGAAAAAGTAAGGCTCTTAACTAAAAGCAGAGGGATACTGATAAGTTGCGAGTTGCAAGCGTCGCAAGTGCGGAAGAAAAAGAACTGCATGAAAGTGAATTTTAATGATATACGAGGTGACTAAAAACAGATCTTTTCGGAACACATTCTAGAAAAATCATAATGAACATAAAAACATTGGGTGTAACATTCTCTGTTAGTCTTTTTCGGAGGTTTTTGTACCCAGGTAAATATTATTTTTGCTATTGAGATACCCAGGCAGTAGAAAGGTGAGTAGTGATCGACAATTTTGCGCAGCGGAAACAAGTCTTTTTTCTATGCTTTGAAACATATTCAAAAACAAACACGACTTTATTGCAAAGCGTCCTAGGTTATTGCAACTTTTGGGTACAATCTGGCACAAACAGAAGTTCAAATTTAAAATGAATCCTTTTTAAAGTAATTAGGAAATTTATTGATTAGGAATACATGATTTCTTTTTATATGGATAAATGTATATTTTAATTCGTCACATTGAGCGAGAATCTATATACAGTGGTCGCTTGCAAGTCTTTCATCAGCACAGCCTTTCATCAAGACCCTGCTTCGAGTAAATTTTCATGAAGAGGACAAGTTTCGATTTCCTTGTAATGTCAGTACCATGCACTCTTAGTTTCCACAAGTCAACTTTATCACAAAACCCTCCCACAAAACGCCACCATACCATTGCTAATAGAAGCATAACTATTACTTCTTCCTACTTAACTTCAAAGTGGAGCCAGGTGAAATGCGGGCATTTTGTGTCGAACGGAACTAACAATTTGTTTTGTATTCTTTATGTAATTCAGATTTAATCAGCAACTGCGGAACCGTAATCGTATAATTTTAGTAACTGAATTAGTTTGTACTATAAAGTGAACTGTAATTAGGAAGAAAGTGCTTCTATGAGACGAACCAAAATCATTGAAGTCAAAGAAACCTAGTAACCGCTTGGTGTGTGGCATCATTTATCCCTGTGTTGTCATCAGTGCGGGTCAAGAAAAAAGACATTCGTTTCATCTGTGATAAGGTAAGAATTAATTCATTTCAGGGGTGTGCAACATTTTGTGTCAGTGGGCCATATATCCAATTTCAGATATCTATCATCACGTATTTTAGCCATATGAGCGCCTTTTTAAACATAATCGGAGTCGTTTTTTTCTGCTTGATGGGGAAAATCTAAGTGTTGAAAAGGGCCATACTAATGGATTGGCGGGCCAGTTTGTGGCTCGCGGACAGCTTGTTGCGAACCCCTAATTTAGTCTGAAAGAGGTTTGAGTTGGCGTTTTCGTCGTTGGAATCGTATTTTGTTACCCGAAGCCGAAGAAAATTTGATTTCATCTATACCCGGGATTAGGGGGTTCTAAAGTTTCTGATTGCCGAGTCTCCAGGATCATATATCCTATTGCAGGGCTACTCAACTGGCGGACCGCGGTCCGAACCTTTCGAGTATTGGATTTGGACCGCACCTAATTAGTTATTTTGGATCATTAGCCCCACTTTTTGAATTTCCTATTATAAAATGACTTTCATAGTTTTGAATATATACAAAAAGAACTATAACACCATAATGAACAATTTTAATTTGCTACTAATCATTAGTCGGTCGAGGAAGTGCTCGTTTAAGGATGCCAAAATATCATTTCTGGAAAGACCGGACCCAAATAATTTTGAAGTTTTGTTTGCGGACCTTCGATAAAAATAGTTGAGTAGCCCTGTCCTATTGAATGGCTTAAAAAAAACTTTTGAGCTTGTGGGCAGCAGGTCAGATTCTTGTGGCGCTTAATGCTCCCCATACATACTAATTAATTACTTCTGTATAGAATATGTTACAATATATAATACGCTTTGCTGAATGTTCAATGTATTTACATATAGCTTATTATAAACGTTACTTTGGTGAAACCATGTTTCCGATTTTAGAATGAACATTTTAACTAAGTAATCATCCTCCTAACTAATCAGTACATCGGTAATCTGTTTATAATCATCTCCTAATTATGGATAATCCCGTTTTGTATAATTATTAGAAGTTCACTCACAAGAGATTAATCATCTAGTTACCAATTTGCTTAGCGGATTGTGTCTACGAGTTATTAATTCTGCGCCGGGTTGTTTGTTTTTTTGAACAGAATAAATATTTATTATTATTGCACACGAAGTATGTATGGGTCGTTTTCTCAATTATAATTCTTGCTGATTATGAAGAAGTTACAAAGTAGAGAATTACGAGATATTTAAATATATAAAATATGAAAATCGACATGCATTTACTCATAAATAATTTTATGTTAAATAACTGCTAAGCATAGATTATTAATCATTTAAAACATGTAGGAGAGATTTCTTGCTATTGACTAGGTCGAAAAAACGACTTGGTCTTGTTTTGAGGGGAGGGCTGATATTAAAATCATTTTTAAAATTCAAGCTATGTCTTATTTTCAGACTAGGTCATATTTTCGGGGGAAACACAGTAAGGACCACCGCTTCGAACTAAATAACACTCACAACACTGATACACAGGCGAATCATACTTTCATATCCAATGGGGATATGAGGATATCTTCCCAAGTGATAAAAGGTTTAGCGCCAAAATTTTTGTAATAAGACTTGTAATAGCATTTAGGCATCATTTCTTCTTGTGAATTTGCGTTCAAGACATCTTCTCTTTGAAAAGGCACTATATACACTCGTTGAAATGGTGAGCTCAAACTATTCAACCAAGCAGCCTTTCATAAAAAACACTTCTGTTTTTGAAAAGAACTGAATCTGATTCTGAGATAATTCTTCGAATATTTTAACGTCATTGCTGGTATTCGAAAATTCAGGTATAAATTGCAGATTCGAAACGTATTTAACTAGGAAGTCTCTTTTATGTAAGAGCGTAAGCTTTTAAAATGACCTAAATATTGCAGTTTTTGGTTTAATCCTTACGGATTTCTTACGTCATTGTTGGAATGGGATTACTGGCGAGTGTACCAATTTTCAAAAAAACAAAAATTTGACAAATATATCTTTCCGAATGCCGCAACGCAAAAATATTCAACAGTGTTGTTTGTTCATACCCTCGAGCTCATTTTAAATGTTTTATGAACAAAACATGATAAAAGATCTTTTGTTGGTTTGTCTATGTATCCGGAGATTAGGAGAACAAAAATAGCTACTTTCAGATTAAATGCAAGAATTTCACGGTTGAATCCAAATCTCTGTTGATGATATTTAGTTCAAATAATATTAGTGGCTGACATTAATTCTAGTGTTGGACGCAATTCATAGAAAAAAAATCACATTTTTACTGTTTCTACTGAACCAATCGCATCAAAATTTACAATTCAATCTAAAAGTGTCTTTCAAAAGTGTATTTGTTGTCGCGCCACTAGGTCAAGTTTGTTTGGTCGCCACTAGGCCCTCTAGTTTTGAAAAATACACCCTTGAGCTAATTGTTTGAATAAAAATAGCTACGTTTTTTTGAGCAGTTCACCTAACTTCATACACTCTGAGTACTTCCAGATTTAATGCAATAATTCCATGATTGTTGATCTTTAATTCGGAGAATGGTTTTCGATGAATGAATGAAATTAATTTTATGCCTGGACGCAATCTAGTTGTTTCAAAAGCTGGGACAACAAAGTTTTTTCCTATTAAAGGATGCGACGTGGCAAAATGCGTTCTAAAAATTAACACAATTGTGTTGAACATTACTAATATATGGTTCGGTATTTTACATATTGTATTTATTATAAATGTTTTATAGGTTCTCATTTTAAATGTTGTGTATATCAATCGATATATTCGTTTTACTTTTCTATGTCGTTTATTTCCTGTTACGTAGTGTCAGTCTTTTTTTGTTAGGTAGTAGATAAACTGTTGTTTAAGTAAATGAAATATGAAGTATCTTCCAAAACAACAATAACTTTTATTTTTTTCTGAATTCCACGAGTTCCTTTGTTTTGTCACGAATTTTGTGAAAATTCGTGCCGCTGTGAAGTTCTCTTTTGGTGAATTTCGGGAGTGAGTGCTCAACGAATTTCGCATGTTTATGGTGGTATTTGGAACCAAGTCCATATATTCGATCGTTTTTCTTTCGTTTTTGCCAAATTCCTTCACTTCGTTTATGTGAGAAACATAAATTTGAAGATTTGTACCACAAAGCGTGTTCCCTTCTGATAGTTTGGGTAAGGGAGACCTCGGTGCAGTGCGTATGTTTATGGTGGTAATGTTGCCAATTTCGCCTCCCTCATCCATTGCTCTTTTTTGTCATATTTCTGCATGAGATTTTATCTGAGAAATTCTAAAACTTTGGCATTATGCCGGATCGTGATCTGAACATGAAATGCGTGAAATCAATATATTCATGTTAAGAAAACATTTGATTCCATACCAAAGCTTCCGATGCATTTATGTTTATACATCGTAGATATCTTATGAAATGTATATTTTATAAACATACACATAATGTATGTGTTTTAATATATTTTTTGCTCGGAATAACTCTTTGGATATGAAATCATTACCATATTGAGAAATGTTAATGTTAATTCGCCTTTTCGCGGAGCCCAATTTTATACACTCTGAGTGAGGAAGGAGATTAATACGACTTGGCAATAATGCGGGCCACTGTCCCGTTCCTTCACCAGTTGTGAATGTTGGATATGGGAATAGGTTACTATTTGAATTCTCCAAGCAGCGCGGAGTTGCGGTCGATTCGACCGAAGGAATAAGTTACTTGTTTTAATATCCTTATATACAATCATAGATTGTACGTCTTTTAACGAATATGTCTGCTAAACGAATCTTATACACATTTATACTGGGTGTCCATAAAGTACCGCAACAAATACAATTTTATTGTGAAGTCAGTTCTCAATATATCACAATCGTATATATCTTGTTGTTTTTTAATCAGTGATTGTTCAAGTATTTTTACTTCATTTAATACATCTGTGAGAACCAAAACAATAAATGGTATCTATAAATTCTCTTTGCTATTTCAAGAAAGACTTCACTGACATTCTATACTATTTATTATGCAGATACTGTAACATTTATGAGGCCAATAAACATACGTACATATATAAATTAAATCCACATCTTGGTGTCGTTTTACAGATAATATATGATTTTCGTGCGTTCATATCGCGTGATTTCCGATTCCTAACGTATCAAATTTTCCTTATATTCCAAATTCTTAGAACGAAAATAAATTTCGGTCAAAACAACTTAGAAATAAATCACTTTTGGAATTGCATAAATTTAGTTTGAATAATTTGGAATCCATCCAGAGTTTAATATTTATTTGTACATACGTATATATTGAGTGTTCACTAATCTGATTCGTTCCCACAAGTTGGAAACGTTAACAACGCCCCATGCCCATCGCCTTACGGTACAGCAAACAGATGCCGATATCAATCATCCCCTACCCAACACACAAGAAAAATAGTAACTCCCTAGTTATTAGTAGTTGTTTGTAAGATAGAGCCTCGCTCGGAAGAAGGTGGGAATACTTATGTGGAACTCATAAAATGATTCGTTTTCACAAGCTAGAAGTGTTAACAACGCCGCACTTTTTAACAATAGCATCTTCTTGCGGTATAACAAAAAGATTTAGAAAAAAAGAAAAAGAATAGTAACTCCCTACTAATTATTGGTTGCGTCCTAGATCTTTCTTTGAGATAATAGGGTTAGGCCGTAATTTTATCCCGATTTTAGTTCTATGACGAGTTCGGGGACTGTTTGTGTTAGCCAAGTGAATATACCCCTGCCCATGGGTCTCAGTCCCTTTACACAACTTGATGTAGAATAGACGAACAAAATTAGTTACCTCCATATTGGTACACATATTTTTATTTAGCGCCGGGAATAGTATACGTTGATGATTGACATCTTATTGATGACACGAATACTCTTATCTTTGCTGTATTTTGGTTTCAAACATTTTAAGAGGATTTGTATTTATTCTTCGAATTTCAAAACAATCGATGTATTTATGACCACAACTGATATATTTGGTTGCATAGATGACCTCGC